ACACACACACACACCACATGCACAATTAAGAAAAATACATACATGTTCGTGTGTGCAATGTGCACACATTTGTGTTTCTGTGTGTGGAGACCAGAGGTTGATGTTGAGAATCGCCCTCTATCATTCTCCACATAACTCTTGGAGACAGAGTCACTGAATTTGGAGCTCACCATTCTGGTTAGACTGGCTGGCCAGGGAGGCTCCGGGGCCCACTCCTGAGCACCACGGCTACAGATGAATGCGGCTGACTCAGCTTTTACGTGGATGCTTGGGATCCTAATTTAGGTCCTCATATTTGCATAGTAGGCATTTCACACACTGAGCTATCTCCCCAGCCCAAGAAACGCTTTTATATATTCTCTCCTCACTTCTTAAAGATCTATAAAAGCGTGTAAAATGGAAAATAAATGTGTGTATAGCTTTTATAAAAGATGGTTCATTAACAGTTTTGTTTCACTTTTTTGTCATTTGTGACATAAGTCATTTCATGGTCCATTAAGAAGTTGTAATTCTGTTTGAAATTCGCTCTTCTCCTTGCACTGCAGAGGCGTTAAGGCTGAAAATGTACACTGCCTGGACTCCCTTGCAGCTATGCTTCCCGGCACAGTTTGTCTTTGGCCAATCAACACAGAATTTAAAACATGGAAGTGAGGTTGAGATCTGCCTTTTATGTCTGGGCTTCATAATGGTGGCACCATTTGATTTCTTTCAGTCAGTCTTACCAGAGAGGTTGATAGTCAGAGGCTATGATAATTAAAATCATTTTTATATAGACCTGAAATAATGTCAGAACTCACATGGGAAAGTAGAGATTCAAAAACAAAATAAAGACAATCCTTAAACAAAAATACATAGTAAGTAATCAGACTTCCAAGATATCAAATATGAATGATAATCTTGATCAAAAAAAAGACAAGTAGCACAAAAAAATTCCAGAAAAATTAGTCAGATATTGAAACCAAAGAAAAAGGAATTTACTGACCTCATGAGAAGCATAAACTGGATTTTTAGCAAGTTAGCTTGAAAGTGTGTCTGCTCTATAATTATGGAACACTTTTTTCCTTCAGTTTCTTAACATAACTCATTGTAAGAAACATAATTTTGTACAATGACAAACAGCATGCTTGAACACACATGCAAGCATGATTTTATAAACATAACTACACTGTTCTGTACTTTCTGTTTCACCTTAAAGAGCAAAGGACACTGGTGATTCTGAGATGACTCATAACACGTGAAGTCAGAGCACGCAGCTGGAGGAGGCAAGAGATGCTGTC